ATATGTGTACATAAATACACACACATACATGTAAATATTTCTTAAATATATACATGTATGTGTGTTTATTTATATATACAAATAAATACACACACATTATGTAAACACACTTATTTTGTATGCTATTAATCGATTTGACAGCCCTAATTTTTTTATTTCTTTATATATTATGTAAACAAACTTTTATTTTGGATGCGATTAATTGTGATTAATCGATTTGACAGCCCTACAAAAATGAATGTTTTTTTTCTAAACTAATTCAAAGAAACAATCAGCAGATAAATAAATAGCAAATGATTTTAAGACATCACTTGATTATCAGAAACATTGGTAGTTGCAGGTAGTTGTAGATAAAGCCATTGAATTTACATATGTAACAAGAATGTATATAATATGAATATATATTATTATTAGATTTAAAGTACTATTAAACAAATATATATTACAAATAAATATAATATAAAGTAGTAAACTAGAAAATAATATATATTAAACAATATATATTTAACTAATATATACAAAAAATATTTACAAATTCAATAAATTCAGCTTTGTCATCATAAATTTCATTTTATGCATTCAAATATAAAGCAGATAAGATTCTACTACTACTACTACTACTACTAATGTTTTTATTGTATTTTAGATCAAATAAATACAGCCTTGGTGAGCAATAAAAACTATCAAAACATTTAAAAAATATTATTGGCTCCAAACTTTTGAACAGTAGTTTGTGTATTGTAAGTATGTAAATGCAAAAGCCTGTAACATTTCTTTCAAAAGGAATGCTCTCTTTCCATTTTCTGAGCCTCAAAGATGAGGATTGTGAAAGGTGGGCTTGATGGAGTGTGAGTTTTTCACACAAACACTACCCTATTCACATCCACACCCTCACACAAGGCTATCTTTCACACATGACAAGTTGCCCAATCAAAACTTGTTCAAATATTTCAAGAACCCAGAGGTGACAGCTAGCTACATCTTTTGTGTGGTGAAGGGAGAAACAAAACGGTCAATCGATCAAAGTAGAAACTTACGTAATATGGTTTTACTTTGGCATTCTGCTGAAGAACTAAACTACACTCTGAAGTTTGGCATCGATTTTGTGTAGCATGTGTTTCTTTAGCTCCGTTTTGATCTGCTATTAAGATCTATCTTAGGTAATCTTATCACAGTGCTAAATACAGGTGTAAACAGGTCCAAACCACCTCAGTATTCGATCACTCAAACCACATTCAGAGGTAGTTAAAAAACTTGTGTCGACACTGTATTCATAGTGTAAATGCTAATCTGTCCTGAAGCATCTAAGATAGCAGTGAACACCAAATACTCACTTGTCAATGAATCAGTGGCTACGTTTACATGCAACCAAATAATCCATTTGTAATCGGATTGACGGCTCAATCGGACTGAAAAGCCTTCATGTAAACACCTTAATCGATCCGATTGAGCTCGATTGGAATGAAATTTCGATCGGATTGAAGCGGGTGGTTTATTCCTTTTCTAATACGATTGAGAGTGCATGTAAACACTCAGTCGGATTGAACTCCGAAACTGAAAGGACTGCGCATGTGCAATGATGCAGAAATAGCGTAATGACGTATGACGCGGTTTTTCCTTTTGAACAAAGTGTTGTATAAATGCATGTCCTGCCAACTGTGAAGTGGAGCAGGACAACCTCCCACCAGTCCTTGTTTTGGATTCTCATCCACAGGCAACCTGTTTTGGGCGCGGGGAGGGGCATTTTTACTGCGTGATAAATAGGAGCAGCACAGCACAGCGGTTTATATGTATATTTATCCATAAATGGATAAATATTAATTCTGCTGTTAAAAACAAATAGAGAAACCGTGTAGGAGAGTGGTTATTACGTGCAAACAGTGAGAAACTCTATATTTGTGCAGTGTGCGCATGTAAAAAAAAAAATCAATTCCGATTTGAAGCTTGTGACATTTGAAGCTTTGCACATCAACCCGATCACTTTATTTAGCGTTCATGTAAACACTACATTCAGATTTATCAATCGGAATGAATTCAGTCCGATTGAACCAAAAATGGTGCATGTAAACATAGCCACCGTGCTCATCATTTGGAGAAAATAAAAAATAATAACATAAAATAAAATCAAAGCCCATAAAAAAAAAAATAAAAATAAACAAATAAATTAATTAAAAAGAACAAAATAATTAGATTTTTTGTGATCGGTGCAGCTGACCCACACTATTTGTCACAAATATGCAAAACCAAACCAAAACAACACAAAAACTTTAAAAAAAACTAGCTATAAAATAAACTACACTATAGTGTTCCTGTGGCTCAGTGGTAGAACATTGCGTTAGTAGCACAAAAGGTCATGGGCACCGAGAACCGTGGATTTTCACTGGTATTGGTACCGAATACTGAAATTTTGGTACCGTGACAACACTAGTCTGAATGCACTGTAAGTCGCTTTAGCGTCTGCTAAATGCATAAATTATTAAATTAAATTAATTAATTATAAATTATATACCTTATTACATTCATTTCTCTAATTTCCATTTGGCTTTTCATTCATTTGAAATGTTTATTGTATTATTTATATATTATTTTATAATGATGTTTATTATAGACATACATAGAAATATACCATATATTTATTAACTTCACAAAAGCATAAAGTCGCATGTTAATACTAAGTGTAAACTGCATGCAATTCTGTCTCAGTTGACCGCTTTGTCAAAGCCAGATGTAAACAGGACCTGTAAGATGTCCTTTCTGAAACATCAGCATCGAGCAGGCTGCGATACTCACCCGTACCAGTAGCGCGGGTCGTTGGGCAGGCAGTGGTTGAGGCTCCTCTGGGCCAGAGCTTTCTTCTTGTTGAGGACGAACTCCTGTAACCTCATCTTCACCTCAGTGCTCGCCACAGCACCTGTCGATCAGAGCCCACAGTTCAGGGAAATCACAAACATCCAAGCAGCGGGACATTAATGGCATTCTCTCAGCCTCTAGCTGTTATACCGCTAGATTTCTCTATAAGCCTTGGGAAGGGGTTTTATGCATTGTGACTGTCAAATTCTTCGCCATTTCTAAACCCTGTAATTTGCAGTGCTGTAATTTTGTCTTCTAAATGGTCTTAAAAAACTCTTAATAGTCTGAGACAGAGAAGATCGAACAGTGCCCAATTGATCACGAATACAAAGGCTGACACTTGTTTTCTGGTGTCGATAAACAGCTCTTCCACTGCAGCCCGACTAGGTTCAGATATCTCTTCAGATCCCTTTATCTGGTCTTAACCAGAGAGCAAACTCTATATTCCAATTCCACTGAGACTGTGACGGTTAAACAAAGATGTCTTTTTTCTCACTATTATTCCCTCTCTGAAAGAAACACATCAGATGGATGAATTCTCACAGCTTTTCCTTCAATTACCACCTTTCCTATCGTCTGTAAACATGTCCCCAGAGGCTGTCGCTGGTGTACGTACACATCTGCGCCGCCAGACAACACACGCTCCTCGCAGGCAACAGGTGACCGCAGTGCAAACGACAACAGTGACGGATAAAAATAGACTGGCTGTACTGCAATGCCAGGAACATCTCAGATAAGTATACACTTTCTGAGAAAATATACACAACTAGTGCATGCGTCACTGTTAATCTTGCTCATGCCTGAAACACCAAATATTAAATCGTGTGCTACAAACTTAATAATCTTATAAGCTATCAGACTACTGGTTTTGGCAAAAAAAAAAAAAAAAAACTAATTAATATTACTGCGAGCAAAGACCTCGTTATGGTCAGTGTCGACACAGCTATCATGTTTTGTTTATGTTTGGAAGGCTACTTTGCAGAGCACAGTCTTGAAAGGGTTGCCATGTCCACTTATTATAAGCAATGCAAATTAAGCATCTTTTGGCTTGCTGTTTGGGCTTAGCTCATAAAACGAACCAGTTTATGGAGTTAATAAATTAGGCAGGCGCAGCAGCTTATTTTCAAGATAATGCATTTGGATTTGAGTTTATTATGGGCTTGTTCTTATTTCATGTTTTTTTCAGAATTTTTCTGGAGTCAATTCAGTTATAGAATGCAGTTGTCACTCCCGTAAATTACTGAACTGTGTGTGTACAGAACAGGATTAAACACTAAAAGGTGAACTGACAACCAAATTTAGAAGGAAAACAGGTGGTTAGAAGGGAGTGATGTGAGCCAGACTCAAACTCATATCATCTACATGAGCGGTGCAATACATTGTCTAGCCTCTAGTCCATGACAACAATTTGCGCTTTTTGACTAGTTCAGGCTGAAAGTTTTTAATTTTGGTTATGAAAAGTGATTATAACACCAAGAGAGACGTTCATGCCACAGTGCTGATTAGCCTAATAAATCAAAGACCTTCATGTGTTTCAGTCAGGTAATTCGGTTTTCACTCACTCTCTTGGCCGCGTTCTTTGTTTTTGAGTAATTGGAGCTTCTGTTCCCGCTGCTGTTTCTCCAGCTCCTGTTCCTGACGATGGCGCTCCAACTTCCGCTGGTGTTCCAGGAGCTCCTGCTGATGTTTCAGGGCCAGGAGGTCCTGCTGATGCTAAACACACACATAAACATTATTCAAGCTAATACAGTGGACCTTAATTTCAACTGTCTTTTTTTTTTACTTATTTACTTTCTTTTATTTACATTATCCTGTTCTTACTGTGTTAGATTCTTGTGCATGTTATTTAAAATATATACATAAAATATAATTAAAAAGTGTAAAGTAAATGAAAAATAAATAATTAATTGGAAAGAAACTTAAACTTTCAGCAAGGATGTATTAAAATGCATTAAAAGTGACAGTAAAGCCATTTATAAATAATATACAATCATATACAAAAGATTTCTGAGCTATCAAAAAATCTTGAAAAATATAATGCATGTCTACAAACATATTAGGCACAACTAAAATAACTGTTTTCCACACTGATAATTACAAATGTTTCTTGAGCAGCAAATCAGACCATACTGGAATGATTTCTGAAGGATCATGTGACACTGAAGACTGGAGTAATGATGCTGAAAATTCAGCTTTGCATCACAGGAATGAACTGCATTTTAAAATGTATTACAATAAAAAAAGCAGCTATTTTAAACTGTAATAATATTTTGCAACAGTACTGTTTATACTGTATTTTTAATCATTGGTGAGCATAACAGACTTCTTTCTTTGAACAGTAGTGTATATGCATTTATTCTTTACACTTTTAATTTTTTTATTTTATTTGTATAGTTTTTTTTATTTTTAATATTTAATCTGTATCTATCTGTATTTTATGTTCTACTGTTAGTGTTATCTGTATGCACCAAGGGTCTGAGAGTAACGCAATTTCAATTCTCTGTATGTATGT